ACAAATAATGACAAGGAGAAATGTTTTCTTTAATTGTTCAATTATGATGAATCCTAGTAATTGGAAATCGTGTGAAAGCTGTGGAAATGAATTACGCTTCGCTTTTCTCAAACAACTTTGACAACTAGTATTGCCCTCGGTATTGCGTGTAATCATTTTAGAATCCGAATATATTGCAACCTGAGTAATAGAATATTGAAAATTAGTGGAGCCAGTAGTGACAAATTGATAAGATGCAAAAATTGACTTGTTATTCATTCATAAAAAATCTGAATTTCTAGTGATTTTATTCGTTATTTATCTCACTCTGTAGTCAGATGATCTACCTAAATACAATCATGCCTGGTATCATTCGAATTCTTATAAGAATTATTATACATATACGGTGACTTGAAAAATACAATCATTCAAAAATTGTAATGTTGATAAAAACACCCCTTATGATATATTGTTCTGAAAATTGATATAGGAGTATTTGTGACTAGTCCGAATCGATTGCCATTATCAAAATTATTGTAAAAAAATTAATAATCAGTTTTTTTCCATTTTGCTTCAGTTTTTCTGCACGCAATAGGGTAAGAAATTGTGATTGACGATTTTGTTGCTCGAAATAGTAGATAACTTTGAGTAGAATATTTTGAAAGAAGAACAATTTTCAAATCGCTCTAGGATTATGAAAGTCCAGGTGGAGGGTTGGGTTGGAGGAAGGGTGGGGTGGACCAAATTGTAACACACTGTATGTACCTAATATACTGGACCTTTTTCAGAACAACAACAAAAATGGCCAATAACGACGCAGGACGCAGTGGAACGGACTACCAGCTGAAGGTTTTTAGACTGACCGCTCTACAGGCCATTTCATTACAAGATGAAAAATGGGAATTATCAACAGAGAATGAGAATGCAGGGAAATTTGATGATGTTGTTTTCGAAAGTGGAGATGGTGGAATTGATATTTTGATACAATGCAAACATAAAAAATTGAAATCAAAAGGAAAGAAAAAATCAAAGGATCCGGTACTTGATTGGAAAACCCTCCTTCCGGAATATTACAACTCCTATAAGATGAAAATCTGTAAGTCATTCAAACGGAAGCTATTGATGATATTATGCTCAAATATTGGTCCTTCGGATGGTGATTTCCTAGAACCCATAAAGATTGCTATAATTCCAGGAAAGTACAAATCTTATCAATTCAAAAGCTCAAAAATTCAAGAGATTCAAGGAATATTGAATGCATTTGATGATCATTCACTGAAATTTTGTGGGGAAATTAGGTTTCTTCATATCGTCGATTCAGCAATAGAAGACGGTATTAAAAACAAACTAGAAGAAGCAAACAGAATTTTTGGTTCGAAATTTTCTAAACTTCATTTTAAAGAGAAAATAGACGAATTCTTTCAGGGAAAACTGCAAAAAGAAAGACGTATCAGAAAGTCGCACGTTATAGCTTTTTTATACGACTCGCGACGTCAGGATTACCTAGAAAAACTAGATTCTTTTGAAATAGACTTCAAGGAATTATATGCCTTTGGTGAAAATCAAATAATCAATATTCTTTCAATAAATGATAATTTCTTGAATGTACTCAAGATTCATAGAAGCTTACTGAAACTCTACAAAAATGATCAACTTTTGTTCATCGACTCAAGTGTTGAAAGCGAATTTTTGGACAAAATAATAATATCTTTTGAACTCCCTGGATACTGCATACTTGTTATTTCTCTAAACAACTCCAATCATTTCCGTATTATTCAATCCCGTATAAATGATATAATAAATAAAAAACAATACAAGAAAGTCATAATTTTGTCAAAAGATCCAATCCAAGATGATGTAATTAAGGATAATGTAATTAGGTATAATGTAATTCAGGATGTAATAAAATTTACTGATCTCACAGAAGCTTGCCAAACTGCCCTTCTGTCGAATGAAGTTAATTTTCAAGGAAAAGATCTGCCTATCAAAGAGCTCGTGAATAATTCATTGAATAACATTGATTTTATAATAGCTCAGAATACTATTATCGACTTGATATATGGTAAAAATATCGAAATAGGTACAGCCATTAGAGACTTGGGTGAAATTGAGCAATATTACATAGAGAGAAAATTTGAAACAGAGATCAAAGTACCAGATGAAAAAAACAAAACTGAAGAGAAAAAGGAAATAATCAAACACAAAAAAAAGGGATTCACAGAACAAGATGTCTGCAATTTCGTTGGTCAACCTGGAAAGTTCGTTCTAATTTCTGATAGAGCAGGAATGGGAAAAACTACTATCTTAACTAAACTTGGGTGCTTGATTAAAGAGACATATCCCAGTTCCTTCCTCATAAGAGTCGATCTGAATGAGTTTACCAGCATATTCAAAGAATTTCGGAAAGCGAGTAAACAATCAATGAATTTAGAAGAGATACTACAGTCAAAAGATAAGAATTATTTTAAAAATAGTTTAGAACAGAATGTTTTCTCAAATACAAAAAATATCATCCTGATGGTGGACGCTGTGGATGAAATAAGTCCGGACTACACTAGTCTAGTTAACAATTTTATGCTTCAAACGTCTGAACGTACAAATATTTCTAAAATATTTGTTACAACTCGTCCTCATTTAACGAGGAATTTGGAATCCTTCCTGAAAACTGAATCATATCAATTACTTCCATACTCAAATTTAGAACAAACTGATTTCCTGATGAAATACTGGAAGAAGAACCTCACAATAGATGATAATGAAAAGCTAACTAAATGTGAGATTTATGCAAAAACTTTGATAAGCAAACTAGAAGATTCGATAGGAAACACCTCTTGGAATTTCATAGGTATTCCACTTCAGACCAGAATGATTGCGGAAATATTTCAGGGCTCTGATGACAAGAAATACCAGTGGGTGTGTTGTAAAGATTTTTTACTATCTGAAAATGAGACCTTGGAATTACCTGATGAGATAAACATAACTGAATTATACGATATGTTTGTGGAAAAGAAAAAAGATATCTTCATCGAAGATAAATGCGATACTCAAGGAAATGTAAAAGCAAAGGAGATCATTTCGAAAAACTATGAAGATTATATAAATGAGCACCAAAAACTTGCTGCTGGACTATTACTTAATGATCATCAATACTCATTGATGAATGTTTCCAAATATGTTAACAATAGCTCCAAGGAAACTATCATCGGAATGGGAATGTTACAAGAAATCGGAGACGAGTTATTGTTTGTGCATCAAACATTCGCTGAATATTTTTTGGCTAAGGCAATGTGGGTACAATTGAAAGAAATTGAAAAATGCAATGAATTTCTGATATTCCTTCTTGAAGACGTGTTTACAAAATGGACATATGAAAAAATCAGAGCTTTTTTTGAGGGCATCCTCACCAACGAATACTCCCAAATCCCAATGAAGGTTTTTGAAATTTGCGGTTTTACATTTGACTCTATAACTTGGGATGTATACAAAAACATAAACATTTTAGCAAGAGAAGGCCGAAAAAATATCGTGAAACTAATACTAGAGAAAAGTGAGAATAATGAATCTGTTAATAATTACTATGATAATATATTTAAATTTAGAACTTTATTAGGAGATGCCCTTGAATTTCAAGAAATAATAGAGTTTTTATTGCACAAGGGAGCAGATGTGAACGGAAGGGATGGAGATGGTCGTACAATCCTACATTATGCAGCCGAGAAGTGCAAAATAGAATTAGTAAAATATCTTGTCAGTAGAGGGGCCGCTATCAATGTTGCAGACAGAAAAGGTTACACCCCATTCCACTTAAGTGTGAAAGAGAATTCCACAGAGCTGATCTCCTATTTTATCGAAAATGGTGCTGATGTTAAAACGAAAGTTGAGGTAGGAACTCCTCTACATTGTGCTGTGGAAAAAGAAAATTTTGAAATGGTCGAAGAACTGACGAAAAGGGGTGTCAATATCCACGAGAGAAATTATCATGGCGGGACAGCTCTGCACTTCGCAGCAACCGTGGGCAATGTCAACATACTGAAACATTTGTTGGAAGAAGGAGCCAGAGTAAATGTTCAGGAAAAAAAAACAAAAAAGATCAAGGTCATACACCTAGTGGAGGTGATGTTGATATCCAGGATTTGTTTGGTAAAACTCTTCTTCATCAGGAAGCATCTGAGGGTCATTTGGATCGTTTGAAAATCCACCATTGGGCAGCATATTATGGTAATTTGGATTGTTTCAAAATCTTAGTGGATAGTAGAGGTGATGTTAATATCCAGGATAACGAAAGTAGAACTCCTCTCCATTGTGCAGCAGATCAGGGTCATTTGAATTGTTTGAAATCCTTAGTGGATAGTGGAGGTGATGTTAATATCCAGGATAACGAAGGTGAAACTCCTCTCCATTGGGCAGCAGCTCAGGGTAATTTGAATTATTTGAAATGCTTATTGGATTATGGAGGTAGATTTAATATCCGGGACATGAAAGGTAAAACTTCTCCCTATAGGAGAGCATGTGAGGGTCATTCAGATTGTTTGAAAATCTTAGTAGATAGTGGAGCTGATGTTAATATCCAGAATAAAATCGGTAAAACTCCTCTACATTGGACAGCACTTTGCGGTCATTCAGATTGCTTGAAAATCTTAGTAGATAGTGGAGCTGATGTTAATATCCAGAATGAAGGCGGTAAAACTCCTCTCCTTTTGACAGCATATGAGGGTCATTCAGATTGTTTGAAAATCTTAGTAGATAGTGGAGCTGATGTTAATATCCAGGATAACGAAGGTGAAACTCCTCTCCATTGGACAGCATATGGGGGTCATTCAGATTGTTTGAAAATCTTAGTAGATAGTAGAGCTGATGTTAATATCCAGGATAACGAAGGTGAAACTCCTCTTCATTGGACAGCATATTGGGGTCATTCAGATTGTTTGAAAATCTCAGTAGATAGTGGAGCTGATGTTAATATCCAGGATAACATAGGTGAAACTCCTCTCCATTGGGCAGCAGCTCAGGGTAATTTGAATCATTTGAATCATTCGAAACTCTTATTGGATTATGGAGGTGAATTTGATATCCATGATATAAAAGGTAAAACTTCTCCCTATCGGACAGCATATGAGGGTCATTCAGATTGTTTGAAAATCTTAGTGGATAGTGGAGGTGATGTTAATATCCAGGATAACGAAGGTGAAACTCCTCTCCATTGGGCAGCAGCTCAGGGTAATTTGAATCATTTGAAATTCTTATTGAATTATGGAAGTGAATTTAATATCCATGATATGAAAGGTAAAACTTCTCTCTATCGGACAGCATGTGAGGGTCATTCAGATTGTTTGAAAATCTCAGTAGATAGTGGAGCTGATGTTAATATCCAGAATAAAATCGGTAAAACTCCTCTCCATTGGACAGCACTTTGCGGTCATTCAGATTGCTTGAAAATCTTAGTAGATAGTGGAGCTGATGTTAATATCCAGAACGAAGGCGGTAAAACTCCTCTCCTTTTGACAGCATATGAGGGTCATTCAGATTGTTTGAAAATCTTAGTAGATAGTGGAGCTGATGTAAATATCCAGGATAACGAAGGTGAAACTCCTCTCCATTGGACAGCATATGGGGGTCATTCAGATTGTTTGAAAATCTTAGTAGATAGTAGAGCTGATGTTAATATCCAGGATAACATAGGTGAAACTCCTCTCCATTGGACAGCATATGGGGGTCATTCAGATTGTTTGAAAATCTTAGTAGATAGTGGAGCTGATGTTAATATCCAGGATAACATAGGTGAAACTCCTCTTCATTGGACAGCATATTGGGGTCATTCAGATTGTTTGAAAATCTTAGTAGATAGTGGAGCTGATGTTAATATCCAGAACGAAGGCGGTAAAACTCCTCTCCTTTTGACAGCATATGAGGGTCATTCAGATTGTTTGAAAATCTTAGTAGATAGTGGAGCTGATGTTAATATCCAGGATAACATAGGTGAAACTCCTCTCCATTGGACAGCATATGAAGATCATTCAGATTGTTCGAAAATCTTAGTAGATAGTGGAGCTGATGTTAATATCCAGAATGAAGGCGGTTGAACTCCTCTCCTTTTGACAGCATATGAGGGTCATTCAGATTGTTTGAAAATCTTAGTAGATAGTGGAGCTGATGTTAATATCCAGGAGAACATAGGTAAAACTCCTCTCCATTGGACAGCATATGAGGGTCATTCAGATTGTTTGAAAATCTTAGTAGATAGTGGAGCTGATGTTAATATCCAGGATAACATAGGTAAAACTCCTCTCCATTGGACAGCATATGAGGGTCATTCAGATTGTTTGAAAATCTTAGTAGATAGTGGAGCTGATGTTAATATCCAGGATAACAAAGGTAAAACTCCTCTCCATTGGACAGCATATGAGGGTCATTCAGATTGTTTGAGAATCTTAGTAGATAGTGGAGCTGATGTTAATATCCAGGATAAAGACAGTAAAACTCCTCTCCATTCGACAGCATATAAGGGTCATTCATATTATAAGGATCATTCGAATTGTTTGAAAATCTTAGTAGATAGTGGAGCAGATGTTAGTATCCAGGATAACAAAGGTGAAACTCCTCTATATTCTGCAGCATTTCGGGGTCATTTGAAATGTTTGAAAATCTTAGTGGATAGTGGAGGTGATGTTAATATCCCGAATATAAAAGGTAACACTCCTCTCCATTGGGCAGCATATTGCGGTCATCTGGATTGTTTGAAAATCTTAGTGGATAGTGGAGGTGATGTTAATATAAAGAATAAACGAAGATATAGTGTATTAGATATTGCAAATCTTTCAAAACAAAAAGAAATAGTGAAATATATGCATGATAGACCAATTAATGGGAAATGGTGGAAAAAGTATATCGTCGGCTTACTATCAAAACCTCGTAAATCCGAATTCTATGGAATTTTAGGTTTGAACATTTTCACCATCCGCCATCTACGATATTCAGCGCACCCATCACAAAATCATCGTGAGTCTATGTTTTTGGTTGCGACATCTATTAGATATGATTTAAACCTCCTAACTCTACTCTGAGAAATTTTGAACTCAAGAACTCGTAAGTCTGCAAGAGAGGATAGGGTTAATTTGCGCTTGTTGAGAAAGTATAAATCTATTGGTTGATTCATTATTTGAGCTGAAATCCATGTCACACACCAAAGTAAGTTTATGATGAACTATTTGGTCAATCTTCTAGAATATTTCTGCAGTGATGCGAAGGACAATCTTGTTTTGATTCTTCACGTGAACAGAGGTTCTGATCTGTATGTTATCTATTTAGTAGAGGACTTAAGAGCTTTTGAGAAGAAGTTATGGATATTTATATAATTTCATTCTGTTCATTCCAAATGAAGACATTGATTGACATATTTCGGTTCATTATTGTTGAACCCATATTTTTCATTGTTATCAAAACTGCCGCAGATTTGCTACATGCACTGTGAAGCAAGGCCAAAGTAAAAGACAATTTTCACTAGTAATTGATCAAAACCAATTCAGTCTGAATAATGTTCAATCATTTCATCATTTCAGAGAAGAATTGAATTTTCAATATTCAAGTATACAGGGTGTTTCACAGGTAAAGGGAAATATTTCAATGGTAGATAGGGGTCACCAAGGTGGTTCTGAAAATACCATATTTGATAGGTCTTAGAGTTTTCATAACGGAGATACAGGGAGATTTATCGATTTCGAATAATTATTCATTCGTCTATAAGTATTGAACTACCCACTATATTTTTCTAAAATTTGGTATGGAGCTTAAACTTGAGACGTTGAATTCATTCACCTATCGAGCGAAGTGAAAATCCAGGTTCGGCTTCAGGAAAAATTTACATTTATTCGAAATATTAAAATAACACACTGTATGTAATAATTGACAAAGTTCATCAAAGGAATCGTGAAGAGGAGGAAAAACTGAACTGGATTTGATGCTTTTTGTTTTCCCGCCACCAATTCTCATCGTAACAATCATAAAGAGGAAGCTAATAGTATGTCAATTTCAAGAGTATTAAAATTATGAAACCACTTTCAATTATGATTATTTGATATATTCTTGTTAAATGATCGTTCGAAAGAACTTACTTAGTCTCACAGTCTTTATAACAGAGATACAGGGTGAATTATCACTCGTCCATAAGTATTAAACTTCCCGTCGCAGTAATATTTTCTCAAATTTGGTATTGAGCTTACTTGGGACGATGGATTCATCGACCTATCAGGCAGAATGGAAATACAGGTTCAGCTTCAGGAAAAGTCTCATAGTCTTTATAACAGAGATACAGGGTGAATTATCGAATTATAATTCCGCCTGATAGGTTAATGAATCCATCGTCCCAAGTAAGCTACATACCATATTTGAGAAAATGTTACTGGGTAGTTGTATACTTATGGACGAGTGAATAATTATTCAAAACCGATAATTCACCCTGTATCTCCGTTATAAAAACTGTGAGACTTAGTAAGTTCTTTCGAGCGATTTTTCGACTGAAATATATCGAATAATCATAATTGACACTGGTTT